TTGTTTTTTTTTTTTTTTTTTTTTTTTTGGGTATGCGGTATCATTGCACTGTAAGCCAGAGATGGCGAGCCTTTTAGAGCGTTCAGTGATGCACGCAGCTGAAGGTCCTGTAAGTGTGTCCTGAGCTGGGCACAGTGGTGCGCGCCTGTCATCCCAGCATTTGGGAGGCTGCAGTGCCCAGGTTGGACTCAAACTTCCAGTCGTGCTTCAGCCTCCCAGAGTTCTGGTATTAGAGGTGTGCTCTGCCGTGGCTGGCTTGTTTTAAAGTCTGTAGGAGAATTTCTCCCCTCTCCATCCCACTCCTGACACCCTTCTCACCCTCCCTTTCCTCTCCTTTGGGACTAGGGACAGCTTGTCCTTACACTGAGACTCCCTTTCCCAAGGGTTCTAGCAGGTACCACTTCAGCCCCAAACTGGTACTGTCTCAACTCCTAGCAAGCAGCAGCTCCTTGTCTTAGAGTATTTGCTGAGGTCCCTTTGAGCAGCTTTGCTTTTTGTTTTGTTGGTATCTTAGAGCGCCACCTACTGACACAAATTGGTGACTGTAAGGCTTTAAGCCTGCCGAGAGTCAGAGTTGGAGGAAAGACTGAAAATAATAGGTTCATAGGGAGTTTGAATTTTCTTTTTATGTCGGGGAGCAGCACTGGGAATTGAACCCGGGGCTTTGACAATGATCTATATCCCCAGCTTATCTTTTATTTTGAGATGGGGTCTCACCACATTTCCTGGCAAGCCTGAACTCGCAGTCCTCCTGCCTCAGCCTCCAGGGTGCTGGCATTATAGTCATGCACTACTGTGCCCAGTAGGATCAGAAGTGTAGCTCTGGGTCGGGGATATAGCTCAGTGGCTCTGCAGCTACCTTGCAAGCACAAGGTCCTGAGTTCAATCCCTAGTACCAAAAAAAAAAAATTTTTTTTTTAGCTTTGAAAATAACCTTTAGATGTTGCTCAACCCAGTGGTCTGGTTTGAGGCTGGGTCTTGCTGTGTGGTCCAGGCTGGCCTGGAACTCTTGATCTTCCTGCCTCAGCCTCCCCAAGTGCTGGGCTCACAGGCATGCGCCACACCCAGCTCAGAGACTGGGTTGCAGGTGTGTACCATCCTGCCCTGCTCCGACCTGACGCGGCACTTCCGGTCCCATCCTGGATGGCACAGGGTTGCTGGGAGCTCTTGTGCTTAGAAGCACTGGGTGCAGGGCACGCAGGTAAAGGCTTTGCGCCTCGAGGTGAGTTGGGGCCCACAGTAGGGCTGGACGGGTCGGAAGGTGTCACTGTGTCCCGTGTGAGCGGGCACAGCACTTCTGTAAGCGCACGCAGTGTTAGGGTCGCCCGTGATGTCCCTGGCTCTGTCACCATCAGTACTTAACCAAGTCACCCTCCCAGTGAGTGCGTCTTGACTCTGTTCTCCTTTCTCGCTCCAGCAGCGTCACCCTGCACACCAGAAAGCTGGCGGGCACCATGGGGAAGAAACAAAACAAGAAGAAAGTGGAGGAGGTGCTGGAGGAGGAGGAGGAGGAGTACGTGGTGGAGAAAGTGCTGGACCGCCGGGTGGTGAAGGGCAAAGTGGAGTACCTGCTCAAGTGGAAGGGCTTCTCGGAGTAAGTGCCGGCCACGGGGCGGGCGCAGGTGCGAGGCGCCCACACCCTTCCCACGGAGTGTGACCCGCTGCGCCTCTGCTTTCAGTGAGGACAACACGTGGGAACCCGAGGAGAACCTGGACTGCCCTGACCTCATCGCCGAGTTTCTGCAGTCGCAGAAAACAGCTCACGAGACAGACAAGTCAGAGGGAGGCAAGCGCAAAGCTGACTCCGACTCTGAAGATAAGGGCGAGGAGAGCAAACCAAAGAAGAAGAAGGAAGAGGTAAGGCCGCGGCCAGAGCGCTCCCCAGCCCGAGGCTGCCGCCACCGAGCCCCGCACCAGAGAACCAGAGCCGGGCTGATGTGCTCCGCAGCGCTGGTGGACCTTGGGGGCTGGCTCTCCGCACTGCCGGGGCCTGTGCCGGGCCGGATGGAGGGCGAGCCGACTCGCTCCCGGGAGGAGATGGGAGAGCTGAGGTGGCCGCTTCTTACTCCGTGCCCTACGGTCGTTGTCTTTGGAGATGAAGGTGGTTGTGAACAGTTGTTTGCTTGGGCTGTGGTCCTTTCCCACATTTGGGAGACCGAAAGCGCTCTACGAGGCCGTTGTTGGCGCCCAGGTGTTAGTGAAATGTGTTGGCAGAAGAGTTGGATTCTGGATCACAGTCCCATCGAGATAAAATTGTTCCCTGTCTCTGGTTTCCACAGTCGGAGAAGCCACGAGGCTTTGCCCGGGGTTTGGAGCCTGAGCGAATTATTGGTGCCACGGACTCCAGCGGAGAGCTCATGTTCCTCATGAAATGGTGAGTCTCGTGTGGCTGTCTCCCTTCTACTCCTCTGTTCCAGGCAGAGGAAAGACCTGGACCTTCAGAGTGCCATGTGTGAGAGCTCTAGGATGCATAGTCCTTTGCTAGTGACCCTTGCCTGGCTGCCAGCCTGGACTCGTGAGTTACAGGTAGGGAGCCACAGGCTTGGGAGAGCTTTGCCCTTTTGTTTGTTTGGAGGGTTTGTTGGGCTTTGGTTTTGGGGGTTTTCTTTTTTTTTTTTGAGGTGGGAAAAAAATCCATAGAGTGGAGAGGTTATGAGATGTGCTCGTATTTCAGTTTTGTAGTTGAAAACATTATGAAATGTGACTCTATTCCCCTCCTCTTAAAGATCTGGCTGGCCCAGGATCAGAAATTTTGTAAAAGTTTCAGTCAGGGGATAATTTGTATTTTTGTAGATTCTGCAATTGTAGAATCCACCAGCAGGGGTCAGCAAGGCCGTTTTTCTGAGGCTCCTGGAAGCCTGCTTTCTGCCCATTACAAATATAAATGCTAGAAGTAGTAACACAGGCTTGCATCGCTGAATTGCAGGGTGATGTCCCGAGAACTCTTTTATCAGTCGGGCGTGGTGGCGCACACCTGTAATCCCAGCACTCAGGAAGCTGAGGCAGGAGGATTCACCACAAGTTCAAGTCCAGCCCGGGCTACTTAGTGAGTTCAAGGCCAGTCTGAGCTACATAAGGAGACCCTGTCCCAGAAAAAAAGAAAAAGGAGAATGCCTCCAAAGTGTAAGGAGGGTGCAGCTCAGCCGAGTGCTGCAGAGTCCTGTGTGCCGGCAGCACAGGGGCTCCCCTCCTTCAGCAGCGCCGCGGGTCCGGGTACTGCCCCCGCATCGCTGAGTCCCGGGGATCGTGAGCTCTGTCGTCATTGTAGGGGCCATCGTCATGTGTGCTTTGGCGACCACAACATCACACCTGTGCGGCGCCTCACTACAAAAGTGTGACCTCCTTACCCTCCATCCATTAAGAAGCTTTCTTCCCTTTTTCTTCCTAGTTGAAAATGTTTTTCCCTCCATAGTGTATCTTGTTGTCTTTAACATGCACTCTCAAGGTTGGGAGCGGAGCTCAGTTGCACCCTGTTCGTTCCCCGGCGCCAAAGAAAAGAACAGAAAATAAAGGCCGAAGGGAGCAGTTCTAAGCCCGGCCGAGGAAGCAGCGTCCCTGCGGCTCTGTCCTTTTTAGGGCTAGGCCCTTCTGAACCTCCTCAGTAGGGATCTTCTCCTGGGCAGGAGGGCTGCAGGCTGAAGCTCAGCGGGGCCCGTTCGGCCAGCCCCTGGAGCTCGTCACTGAAATGCTGGCCTAGCTGACTGAGGCCCTGGGTTCATCCCCAGAGTGGACGGAAGAGGGCTGGAGAGGCCTGACTTCAGCACCACTAAAGGCCTGCCTGTGTCACTAGCTGTTTTCTGTCTTCCTCCTCCTTTTCCTTTTCTCAGCGCTCTGCAGCCCTTGCCACACACACACATTTTTGAGACAGGGTCTCATAAATGGTTTGGGCTGGGCTGGAGCTGGCATTGCTCTGCTGCAGCCTCCCGGAGTGCTGAGATGACAGGCTCGTGGCCTGGTCAGCCTTGCACACTGCATCCGGCTCTCTTGCAGCTGGCTTCATGCTGGCCTACGTTTGAAACAAGGTCACTTTGAAGGGGCTGCAGGTGGGGGAAAGACCAGGAGCTCATGATGAAGAACAGCAAGAACATGCTTTTCTCTACGCGTGAGCAGTCTCAGTGCTGGTGTTGTCTCTGTTGCCTAGGATCGCATCCCTTCCTTTGGTGTCTGTTAAGATTAGACACTACAAACCTGTAAGCCCAGCACATGGGAGGCTGAGGCTGGAGTATTGCCAGGAGTTCAAGATCAGCCTGAACTGCACCGCAAGGCCAACAAAAGAAAAAGATTAGATGCTAACTTTAAAACCACGTTTACTTTAAAAAATGACTGCCAGGTACTCTCAGCATTCTGGGAGGCAAAAGCAGCAGGATCATAAATTTGAACCCAGCCTGGTAAATTGGTGACGTAGCAAGACCTTCAGAATAAAAATAAAGGGCTGGCGTGTGGCTCTGTGGAAGCCCTGGTTTGGATCTGCAGTTCTGGGGGTGGGGGTTCCTGGAACTGGGGTGCAAGTCAGTGGCAGAGCACGTCCCTAGCATTCCTGAGGCTCTGGCTTCAATCACCAGTAGCACCAACAAAAACCTTTTTTTTTTTTTAGTGATTTTTCCCGGAGCGTGGATATACCTGTCCATTTCTTTTTTTTTTTTTTTTTTTTTTTAAGATAGGGTCTCACTATGTAGTTGAGAGTGACCTGGAACTCACTGTGTAGCCCAGGCTGGTCTCATACTCGCAGTAATCCTCCTGCCTCAGCCTCCCAAGTGCTGGGATTGCAGGTGTGCACCTCCACGCCTGGCTACCTGTCCATTTCTGAAAACACCAAGTGTCTGTATGCAGTGAAGGGACTTACAGAATGCTTGTGGGTGTCTGTTACACACCGGTAGCTCCTCCCCTGGGGCGGGCCGCCTGCCTCAGCCTCCACCCTCTGAGTCTTGTCTGTTCTGCTCAGAAGACACTGTCAGCTCCTTTCCTGGTCCCAGCCGTCCTCAGGCTGCGGGTTCCTGGCGGCATCCTGTCGCGGACCTGACAGGGATATGCTGCCTGCCCTGTGCCGCTTCCTCAGCTCGGTACACTTGTGACCTGGAGAGAGCTGGAGAGAGGGCTGACCTCTGATTCCCTTCGAGTGTGCGTGCGGTTTCCTGACTTTGAGAACACTAAAACTTGGGAAAAGCTTGGCGTGGTGGCCTGTGCCAGTGATCCCACCTGAGAGGCTGAGGCAGGAGTGTGACGAGCTGGACCCCAGCCCGGGCAACTGGGTGCCAGACTCCCTGCCTGGAAGAGGGGTGGGGGCAGCCCAGTGCTGAAGCGGCCCTCGCGCCCCATCGTCTCAGTCACTTAGCAGCCCCTCATCTGATGTCCACCTCCCCGCGCCGGAGCACCACTTCCAGACCCCTGGGGCTCGGTGTTCACCGCGTCTGGGGAGAAAGCACCGGGCTGGCGTTAAGCCCCAGCACATGCTGGCTGAGGCAGGAGGGTCGCCGCGAGTCCGGGCCGGACGGGACCCCATAGCAGGCCCCCGCCTCTAACGGCGAGAAGCCCTAGCTCCGGCGGAGGCTGCTGGGAGCCGCCGCCCTTCCCTCCGAGGTTCGCCTCCTGGGCTCTTTTCCTCGTACTCTCTCGGGAGTCCAGTGCAGTGGCGTCAGCAGCCTGGCGTTTGACAAAGATCCCCAGATTCAGGAGGCCGGCGCTGAAGGCCATCCTGAGCCGAAGCCCTATTTCCAGAGTTAAAGACCCGTCCGTCAGGGGTTTCGCTGGTCGGGGCAGCCTGACTCCGCGTCTGCTTTGTCTGCAGGAAGAACTCGGACGAGGCCGACCTGGTGCCCGCCAAGGAAGCCAATGTCAAGTGCCCGCAGGTCGTCATCTCCTTCTACGAGGAGCGGCTGACGTGGCACTCGTACCCCTCGGAGGAGGACGACAAGAAAGACGACAAGAACTAACCGGGAGGCCGGAGCCCCGGTCCCGCCACCGCACAGTGGCCTGGGAAGATGCCCTTTGAAGCGCAGCAGCGATTCCATGCCGGGCCGCAGGGTGCCTGTCCCGCTCCGCCCCGCTCTGCCCCACTCCGCCCCACTCCATCCCGCTCCGGGGAAGGCCTCCTGTGAGGGACAGACCTGCGGGCGGGAGAGCAGAGGGCCCGGTCATCTTCAAGGCGCGTCTCCGCAACCCACGGCCTTCTTCCCGATAGTGTTAACTGCATTTCTACAGCGTAGCATGTGTGTGGTTTTGGCTGTTGCTGGTATATTATTTGGGGTGGGAGGGATGGGCAGGGGAGAAGGGGAGGATCATTCTGATGAAAATCGGGGTCTGGTCGGGGAGTGCTGAAGACATGGACAGAACACCTGACGATCTGGTTCTGTGTTCAGGATATTTTACCTTCTCAAAAACTGTCACTCACACCACAAACGAGGACTGGGAGAGACTGGTGCAGACGCTGTGAATGCCTGAAAGCCCAGGCCAGCTGTCCCTGCTGGGGCTCGGTGCTGTCCCCTGGGGACCGGGCGGCTCCTAGGTTGCCAAAGCGGCCGCTCTGGAGATGGACACGGCGGAGGTGGGAGGTCTTCTGGGGGCCGCGCACAGGAGGCTTCTGTCTCGGAGGTGCTAACCCTTAACTAGATGAAAGGACATCTCTTCCCGTCAGCAAGTTACCGTGTCCGCCTGTCCAGCAATGGCGAAAGTGCTGGGGAGGCCTCGGGAGGGGCAGCAAGAGTTGGGAATGGTGTGGCCCAGACTCTTAGGGTGGAAATTTGGGGCCTTGGGACTTTGAGCTTTGAATTCGGAAACATTGGGCCAGTCACTGACGGCACAAGTTTTACTGAGTCAGTTCAAGGGGCAGGCGAGTTCAGGAGCCCTGGTCCCGGGGATTCACTTTCACATTGGAGCAGTGTTGAGCACCCGACATATTTTGGGGGGAATAAATGTTAAGAGTTAACACGGACACCACAATGCTCTGCCTTCAATTCTGAGACCCAGCAGTTCTTGACATTGTCTTGAGCTATGTTGTAAAGTCTTTCTAGGCATGTGTTAGATTTCTGTGAAATTTTTCTTTAAATGTAAACTTCATACTACACTGTCAGTTTTTGTCTTAATAAAAGTATAGATTTTTAATCCCTGATTTATGTCTTGATTAAGTCTTAGCAGAAATTTTTTATTATGGCCTCGTAGATTGAACCTGTTGGAAATCACTCTCACACGTAAATCGTTTTATTTCTTGAACGCTATACTGGAGATTCTGGTGCTTGGCCTGAATCTTACTCATTCGTCCTTTCATCCTCTCCCATATTGGCGGCTGAACCAGAGCTCTGAGCTACAGCCCCAGCCCTTTATTTTGAGACAAAGTCTCATTAAGTGGCCGGAGCAGCTGGCCTCCAAATTGTGATCCTCCTGCCTCAGCCTCTGGAGTAGCTGGGATTACAGGCTACAGCTGCACACCCAGCTCACCATGCTACTTAGTACACACTGAGCATTTGTAATCGCTGTGGGGGTTGTACAGGTTGTCACACTGATGCATCTGAGCCTTGCTGAAGGGTTACACACGGGCATATTTAGAAATGTGGGTTTTACAAGATGGATTTAGGGCCTGTGTGTAGAACAGCTTGCGTGGCACTGGCTGAAGTCACCTTCACAGTTTTCAGTTGTACTGTTTCAGCAATGAATTAAAATAACTTCTCTTAACATCACTGCCCACCTATAGAGCCAAAATGGGACTAAGCTTTTGTGAATTTTGTGAAAGGAAACAGCTCAGTGGTCGAGCGCTTCCCAGACTGGGCTCAAACACAGTCTTCCTGCCTCAGCTTCCCAGAGTGCTGGGATGCCGGGCGTGCGTAGGTGTAGGTGGCTGTGTACATCCAGATTTACAAGTACCTGGCGCGTAGTCTGTGGTGTCCCAGGCAGACTGCACCGGCCGTCAGGTGTCCTCCGGGGAGTCGGGCGCAGCCTATGGCCATGCGTGACTCTGCATTCCAGAGCGATCTCGCGCTGTACTGGGGAAAGGGACCCGAATCGAATCCACATTCAGCTCCTCCCGTTGGAGAGCCAGGATTCATCTGGCAAGGCGGGCTGGGCCTCATGAGGACCGTGGCTGGACCGGACTGAGTTAAGCCCAGGGCTGTGGCCCTCATGGGGCAGCTGAGTCCACCCAGACCAGCAGCTCCGGTCCTGCTACCCACCCGGTCGCTACCCACCCGGTGTCTGGGGGCAGGGGAAGGAACTGAATGCTGGAAGGCAACAAAATCCTAAGTGAGCCCCCTGCTGGATGAGGGGTGCAGCAGAGGGGTCCCCAGGGCGCGATTTCGCTGGGGCCAGAGAGAGCAGTGTGTGTGTATGCGCTACAGCAGAACCAAGTCTGCACTGATGTTGGTTTGCACGGTTTCTGATGGCACCAAAGCCCCGAGTGGATCCGTAGGTCTGGGATGGCCCTGACCTCACCTGCTCTGTCTACGAGGCTGCTTTGGGATGTTTGCCCACTTGCTATTACCTCAGCGCCCGGCAGGGGTGGAAGGTCAAGTGTACTAATCAAACCCGAGTTTAAAACAAAAGGGTGGCCGTGTGTGGTGGCACACACCTGTCATCCCCAGCACTCGGGAGGCTGAGGCAGGAGAATCCTGTGGGTTTCAGTCCAGCCTGGCTACCTAGTGAGGTCAAGGCCAGGCTCAACTACATAGCGAGACCCTGTCAGAAACACACACACACACACACACACACACACACACACACACCCCACAGAACCAACCACAAAAAGCAGAGTGCCAACTCCTTAGCTGAAAACAGTACACGGCTTTAAAAAGCACTATTCAGCCTGTCCATCCTGCAAATTAGGCTGCAAAAGCAGCAGCTGTAACACCTTTGTGGGTATTTTTGTGTCCCCAAAAAGGAAGTGAGGGCTCTGGCCTCTTCAGGCACCCGTGCCCCAAATCCTCTAGAGACAACATGAGCCCTAGGCCCTCAGTGAGCATGGGGACAGACAGAGTCAAGGCCCCAGGGTGCTAGGCTCCATCCGCACTGCACAGCCTCATTCTCCACCTCAGCCAGAGTTCAGAACTGGAGGAAAAGTGATGGCTCCTTGTGCGGTAAAGGTGACAAGGCAGTGGGTCTCGGGCCCCTGACAGCGATGGCTCCCACTGCTCACCGCTAAGTGGGTCAGTGACAGGAAAACACAGCCTGCCCACGAGTTCCGCGCCCCCTCCGCTGGCTGGGAAGGTGCCCTCCGGCCCACAGCCCGGTCCAGTCTGTGCGCGGGTAGCATAGCCGCAGAACAGAACCGACTCCCTGTGCTACCTGAGAACCGGGCTGTACCCAGACACTGGCCTGAGCTTCTGAAGGGTCAAAGGCCAGGCCCCAGTGCCGAACTCCAAGGCAGACCACCGCTTCTCGGTTCTGAGTCTCCGACCGCAGCTTCACGAGGGAGCTCCAGACGGCGCTGCAGACAGCGAGTCCCCTTCCAGGGTGAAGCCTCAGCCCTCAGCGGCCAAGGTCCGGCCCACACCAGAACTGCCCTGCACTTCCGGGCCGAGGAGGGTTAATGGCAGCAGCCTTTGGCCAGGGCTAACCAAGTCCTCAGAAAACATGCCACCTGCCACAGCAGCGCTCACCAACTCTGGAGGGAGGGCAGAAGGATCTCCATGAGCCTGGGCGACATAGACGATGTCAACACACCAAAAAATCGGCATGAGTTAAGTTTTTTCTTATTTAGTTTCTTTTTCCTTTTAACAATCTCAGTCTTAGGTCAGGCATAGTGGCAATGCCTATAATCCTAGCTACTCCAGGGGCTGAGGCAGGATTGCAAGTTCAAAGGCCAGCCTGGACAACTTGGCAAACCCCCGTCTCAAATTTTTTTTAAAAGGTAAAACACTGAGCCGGGCGTGGTGGTGCATACCTACAATCCCAGCACTTCGGAGGCTGAGGCAGGAGGATCGCTGTGAGTTCGAGACCAGCCTGGGCGACACAGTGAGTTCCAGGTCAGTCTCAACTACGTAGTGAGACTCTGTCTCAAACAAACAAACAACAACAACAACAACAACAACAACAAAAGGTAAAAGGCTTAGGGGTGAAGTTCAGTGGTAAAACACTTGCCAGGAGGGCACAGGCCCTGGTTTCCAGCACCAGTGCTAGACATGGCCTACACGAATAGACTGCCAGTTAGCAGAGTGCTCTTGGTTCTGGCAGACCCTTCCCAGCCTGAGGCCAGCGGGGAGCTGTACAAGCCCTGTCAGAAGTGGGAACGAGCGCTTGGGGCTCCCTCCACCCGAGGGTATCTCAGGGCACCAAAGGACGGATCTGAGGCAGACGAGGCTGGGAACCTGGGAGCTCAAGGTCACAGCCCACACAGAGAAGAGGCCCCAAACTTCCTCTGTGCTTCGCTGGAATCACAGCGGAGGGCTAGTTCCGGTGGTCCCGGCTGGCACTGTGCTTCTGCTGCTCCCGCCTCCCGGAGTGCTGGGGTCCCGGGCCAACGCCACCACGCCCAGCTCAGGCGGTGGGTGCTTCTCTCCCAGGGAGACCACCTTCTGGGCACCTCAGCTCGGGAGGTCACCTCCAGTCTGAAGCCCTGAGGCGCCCGGTGACGAGCAGCGCTCATCCCCTCGGCGAGGCGTCCCTGGGTGACCACGGAGGGGCGGCTGAAGGAGCCACCAGGCAGGTGCCCCGTCCCTTCCCAGCATGCTCGGCAGCACTACGCCGCGCCACGGCACGCGGGACCCGACCTCCTCCTCCGGGGCCCAGTCAGCCCCGGCTCCCCCCGCTTCCTGGCTTCATCTGAGCTCCA